TATTTATGTACAATATTATATACTGTACTGTATGAATCCAATGATAAGGTATTTAGTTATACATGTCTTATAATTGTAAGTCATAATCAATTAACATGAAACTTAAGAGAAGTTGGTTCAAACCTAGAATTCCCAGGGTCTCACTTGCTAAGTAATTATCATTTAGCAATATAAATTACAGTATACTGATACTATACTTTTAAATTATATAATTCGTATGTTGCAGTAAAGAATTTCCCATTTACATTACAAATTATCTAATATATTTTTAATATAATGTTTTATATTCCTTATAATAAGATTTAATACCATAATTATAAACATAAAATTCTATATACTGTATTAAATTCTATATTAAAAGTATTTCCCGATAATTAATTAATTTCTATGATTAAATACATTTAAATTCATATATTAATAGAGTAAATTCCAAATATAAATTATAAAATATCAAACTCAAATATTGATATAACTTATCAATAAAATTATTAAAATTGTAATACATTATTACTAATAATATATAATTTTAAACATTAATTGAAAATTTAAATCTAAATAATTCTCAATGAAATTTATTTTAAATGTATAGTAATAAATATATTTTAAATGACCATGATAACCTTAAAAACATAAATGACCAATTCGTTAGTTTTATGCCTATTTAAGTATAATTTGCATAATTTTACTATATTTTCGAGTCACAATACATCAAGTCATAGATAATATTAAGTTGTTTTAGTTACTACAATCTGAATTATTTTTAAACCCTTTAATTAATAAATCATACAGGCTAAAATTAGAAATTATAGTAGATAAAAGGTAAATGTTTGCATTATGACTTAATCACTTATTTATCAAGACTTATTTGAAGAATTAATTGAAAGGTAGGATAAATTTCGTTGAGAGGATTTATCGGTTAAAGCAAGATAATTAAGATCGGGATCATTGATCGTCTTTGAATAATAATTCTCAGGCATTTCATACGTATTCACGTCTTCGCCCTCTGTTTTATAATTATCATAATATACTTCGGGATAAGTATCGTCATAAACACCAGAATTGGTTCGTCTGTTAACTTCCATTAATTTCTTTTGTCTCATATATAGATATATGAGAACCGGAATTATTATCAATAGTATGAGCGAAATAATTATCGACACAATTGTAGAAAATGGTATATTTAAGGGTTTTGCAGGTTTTACGGATGACATGACATCCAGACATATGTCAAGGCTTGAGGTGCGGTCATCGGTGTTGTTGAATGAGTGGACCACTTGGTTGTCAGTCCATTGATAAACTCTAATGTAGTCCAAAATAAGTGCAGAACATTCCCAGTCATAAAAGTCACTCAATTCTAACACTTGGTTCGGGAAGAAGATACCGCCCACTCCTAAAAGTATCACTAATTTAAATGGTTTATCAAATGGTTGTCCACTTTTTGTATAAATTGGCGCTAATTTTTCACTTAATTTAAATGACAAATGATTGTTGCGATCAAAGAACCAGTCAATACGGCTCTCACTCCATTCAATGGCATAGGTATGGAAGTCATTGAGACTGGCATTTGTAAAATATTCATAATTATCTGGCTTATATATGGAAGGGGAAGCACTAAAGTGTACTCCATTTCCAAATGATTGTGTCTGAATATTGGTCATGATGTCGATCTGTCCGGTCAGAGCCCACTGCCCTGAGTTCATTGGACTCATATACAGGGCTGGTCTCAACATTTTGCCGGTCGGAAGGGCGGCCCTAATCTCGAAACGACCGTAAGTCCAGCTCTGTCTTGTGGTAATCTTTGCTGAATTGTACTCTTTATTGAAACCCTTTTTCTTATGACGAGTGGCTGTTATAGCCAAACATCCGTCCCTTGATTGCAAATTTTCGCTTTGATTTACATTACAATTAAGTTGTCCGATATGATTGCCTGTAATTCAATGGAAATACAAATCATTACATTGATATGTCTGGTAAACATGTGAGACAAAAACTGACCCCGACAATTTCCAGTTAGCCATTCATCCTCAACTTGCCATTTATTTGGGTCCAAACCTTTATCATCAAACTCATCACTCCATACAAGTTGTAAATTCTGTTTACTATTTACACTATTTATAAATACAATTATTAGTATAATTTTTTCTGCTTTCATTTTTAATCCAATTTTTTAAATAAAATCAATTTTGTCTCATTTTATAGATACTGTATTTTATTTTGCAGGATGACATAAGTAATGGTGTTTTCAGACAACATTTTATTTTACAAAAATTAATTAGTTAAATATTTGTAACTATGTAAAAAATTATATTTCCTTTTGTATGAAATAAATTAGAACTGACAATACGTAGGAAACTAATAAAATAATCAATTGTATTATAGTAAGTTATGTAATTTCTTGTACAGTAAACTTCAGTAAGTTCCGTATAAAATAAAAATACATTATACTGGTACTTGTACACAATATAAAAGTAAATTGAGTAAAAAATATTAAATTAATAATTGACTCAATTTATAAGAGCTTATGATTTTAGTGAAACAATTCTAATGTATCAATTTAAAAGATTTAATTTATCAATTTAATTTTCATGTTAATATTCAATTTTCTGCTCAAACATTAAAAAATACTTAATTACTATTCGTATGATTTATATTACGCTAATTCTTAGAGTATTGGGGAAAGCTTTTGATAAATTAAAATCAACAGAGTATTATTAAAAATATATCTATGAATAAGATTTTGCAGTGATTGCGATAAATAGCTTACAGGAAATGTAACTAAAAAGTCGAGAAGACCTCCACATTTATAGATATTTTGAGGTTCTTTCAAAATAATTGCCTTAATTATAATATCAATCACTTCTTTGGTCTGATTTCTTGACGCTTTGAGTACTCGTTGCGACGACTTCTCGAAACTATTGCGATAATTATCACTGAAAACACATTTGACATCTTCAGGTGTTTGATCCCACACTCTGTCCAAAGTGGTCTTCATAAGAGTCCAATCAGTTATAGGCGTGCGATAGAGGACCGGCTCTATTGTTATGACTTTTATCTTCAAATTTTCAACTTCTTTGCGAAGTCCGTCAGAAAAAGATCTGATGGCGTGTTTGGACATTGAATAAAAACATAGACCATTAAATGTGGTCCGACCTACAAATATACATTTATTAATAAATTAAATAGCGGAAAAGATTTTTAATAAATTATTTAATAGTTTAATTTAAAAAAGACTAAACAGTATTGAAATTATTAAATCAAATTGAGTTTACCGGCAATACTGGATATATTAATAATTCTTCCCATCGATCGTCTCAATAGAGGCAACGATTGTTTGGTGACTCTGACGGCACCGAAAACATTAACACTAAACGTATCATTCAATTCTTGGACATCAAATCCCCACTCTATGGGAGCATTCATAGCAATGCCAGCGTTATTAACAACAGCCCACAAGGGAAGACCTGAGCATTCAATTTGTTTGATACCATTGACCACATCTGTAGGATCTGTGACATCCATTTTTAACACTTGAAGTCTTTGAGAGCAGACACGAGTTAATTCTTGGGCACCATTTAGGTCAGCATTTAAAACGCCGGCAAACACATGAAACCCCAATCTATCGCACTCTATGGCCAATTGGTGGCCAAATCCTGAATCACATCCAGTGATAAGAACTGCCCGATTCGTTGCCAAAACTTTTTCGGTTGAAATTTTCTTATAGATTGCATTCGAGATAAACCACGAAATTATTGGAGATATTATTAAAACAC